GTGTTACTGAAAATCTAAGAATAAAGGAGGTGAGAAATAGACTGATATAGAATTAGGGATGAGAGAAGTATAGAAGAGAGCATAGATGAGACAAAAGAGCTAACACTTAACTCCAGCATAAAATGCACTACGTCTTCTACTGTATTTATAATTTTCTCACGCTGAACTTTCACACACTGTGAACCTGCCTACGCTCAAAATGGTCCCACACATAGTTTTCCAAATTTCCAGAGATATCCTCCACCGAGTCACTCACTGAGTTCACAACAATACCTCCCACCTCAAAAATAACCTTGTCCGCAAGGTTCGAGTAAAGCAGAAATTGCAGCAATTTCCGCTTGACACTGTCAACAGCAAACAAGCAATTCAAAGCAACATCTTCGCTTCTGGTATGATACATAATAATGTAGTAATGGGAATCACCATCCGCCATCAAGGAAAGCAATCTAGATATAGGTGAATTAGTACCAAGGTTGTTGTCTTGAAGTGAAATCAACTGCATCCAATCAAAGGAATCTTCAACCTTATACCTTATGTCATACCTTAAGGTACCCAAAAGAGCATCAGCAACAAGCTTAACGTACTGGCTTATCACTCCTGCATCAGTGCAAATAAATGCACAGGAAAGGGCAACACAAATTAGTCTAATCTCAATGTGAACAGCTCCTTTTCCTATCCCTAGTGTTAACATTGGGTAAGGCATTTCACGGAATTTTAGCTTCCTCACTGAGATTATAGCCATGGAAAATAGATCTCGCCATCTGACACTGGGGATAGACTGATTGAAGGAATGCTGCACCCTTTTGTCCATGTAACGATGATCTGATGTCATCCAACCCGCATCTTCAGGGGCCTCAACAATATCTGCAGCAGCTGCACTTAGTAATTTGGGTTGAGGTAGCAACTTAACAGAATAGTATGTACAACTATCACCATGCAGAACATTGGCAACAACGCCCTTCCTACATACAAGACCGTGGGTGTTAGGTAGCAGAACCTGAATTCCTAGGTAGCAGAACCTGAATTCCTGGATCAAAAAGGTCGAAGTGTTGGCTCGTAATAACCTGCCCAAATAGTCCTGCGTCCTTACACATTGCAAGAATAAAAACAACACATGATGCTGACTTCCCCTCACTATAAACCCCATAGTGTAGCTATTGGATCATAAGTAGAAAAAACAACACTATTTGCAAACATATTCAGGTTGATAGCATAGGTTATAGCGCTATCATGTATACCAGGATCAAAGGGAAGACTAGCAAACTTGAGATAAACAACCAAATCTGCTATGAAAGATGAATAACGTTGCAAAAAATATACGACGGTTTGGAACCCCAGCTTGGCAAGCTCAACATCCAGTAAGTCCCTATCCATGAATTCTACAGCTTCATATATATAGTTTTCACCATGAACTAATTGACTTGATCGACCAAGCATATCTACAATGATGACATATAGTGCATTGTCATGTTCGAGCTTAGACTCTTCCATTAAGTTGAAATAATGCAGTCCTTTATCAAGCTTTAAGAAATTTGCTTGCACTTTGCTCTTCCATCCTTCTTTATCAGCCAACACAGCCATGACCTTACTAGGTTGATGCAACTTTAGAACTGTAGAATTAGGAACTCCAACCCAGCAGGAAAGCATCATTAAAATCTTGTATACGAGGTTGAAGCGAGTGATGTCTTCTTCATAATGAATGAGCTCCAATAGTAGCCAATGCATCACAACAACTAGATACGCATTCTCACAGTGACACCACATCATACCACTCCTAAAATACCTCAACTGAGTAATCATGTACTGCTCCTCAAGGTGAGTCAGAGCACCATCAAAGCAATACAGAAATGAATGTGCTATAGACTCACCCAGTAGCTTATATGATGTACAAGAATTTCGAAAATTACAACTGCATTTAAAACCCGTTTCAACTCCACCCACAGGCTCCCAATCATACAACTTTGCAAATAAACAGCTCCTTCTTTTTCTAAGATCTTCAAACAATGTATGTGCCTCCTATTTCTCAGTAGAACCCGTTAGAGCCATGAACTCGAAACTAAGTTCTGGATCCCATACACAAAGAATCGCTGCATTTAAGGTTATGGTGACACATAAGAAATTAACACCAGGATCAAATGGAAATCGATTCAAAATATGGTGATCATTGAATCCCCCCGTAGATTCCCCATGCTCATCATCAGACAGCATTTCATTTGAAAACATGTCACTTCTTGGGATGCCGTCCTCATTCTCCATAAACAATTTATCAAGACATAGGTCCTCAATAGTCGCAGGCTCCACGAGAAATTCAGCAAGATACATGTCTTCAAAAGTCTCAAATTCAATTTTCTGTTGGCCGTGATCAAGAGAAGGTGCAGTAACGTACCTCACTGGCATATCTCTTTTGGGACTTTTAGCAAACAGTTGGGCTTCGCTGCTTTCAGGACATGTAGCTTCTTCCGCGATCATTTCAATTGAGGCAGCTGATTGAGCCTTCGGAAATAATGTTGGGCAGCAGCTATTTAACATTTCATCGATCACCTGGACCTCCTCAGATTCTCTATCCTCTAAATTAGGTTGCAACTCAAACGGAAGGGCTGGTGCAGCCAAAAGCTTCTTAGATTCAACACATAAAATCACAGTAAAAGGAAATGGAGCAATCTCACAGGGCACAAACTGATCTCGTTCAACAAGAGGAACGAGGAGTGCTTCATCGCATGTAAAATGGCAATGCAGATCAGGTTCGTCACTCTGGGAAATTTCGTCGAACACCTTGTCTTCGACTGGTGCGCACTTCTCTCCGCCAGTTAAACTAGAGTTGGGATCATGTATATCAGGTACTTGAAGGTTTGTGAATGAACCTAAGGAGCAAGGAGGATGAATGTTGGAGTTTGTTGTTGGAACCGAAGAACCTTCAACGATTACAATAGGGAAAACTCCAGTAGACAGTGCATCGAATGCTTGTTTCGTCTTGTTGGCTGGTCCGAAAGCAGATTCAAGCCCATAGAAAGTCAAAATATATTGCAGATCAGCAATTGTCGTTTTGGAAAATGCAGAAGAAACTTCTCCTTAAAATGGCTCTAATCACAGAATTATTTGTTGCGAAACAGCCAATCAAACCAAGCGAGGGCATCGCCGTCTAGGTAGAAGGAAGGAAGAGGCAGCCAGTCCTTCTTGGAGAAGCCAAGGTATGTGAAGTACAACTCGGCCCGAAAAATCCAGTGCTCCGGGTTGCCGTCGCCTCTGAATCTAGGTAGACACATCGCCACCGTTGGAGTCCGATGGATAAAAGCACTAATATAACAACCCAGAAGATACACCAAACAACTTATTATATTAACTCAATAATAATTGGAATTACAAAGCAAAAGCTAATGATAGTAAGGACAGTGTTACTGAAAATCTAAGAATAAAGGAGGTAAGAAATAGACTGATATAGAATTAGGGATGAGAGAAGTATAGAAGAGAGCATAGATGACACAAAAGAGCTAACACTTACAACTTCAGCATAAAATGTACTACGTCTTCTACTGTATTTATAATTTTCTGGCGCTGAACTTTCACACACTGTGAACCTGCCTACTCTCAAAATGGGTCCCACACATAGTTTTTCAAATTTCCAGATATGTCCTCCATCGAGTCACTCACTGAGTTCACAACACAATTCCTGCCAGCAATCTGGCCCGAAGGAGTCAAAACAGTGGAAGTACTGAATTTATGCTGATGCTAAGGAGCTTAAGATTCTGGACAATGATTTTATTCCAGATATCATCTTTCAGGAAAAGGCGATAAGAAAGGAACAGGCCTTTTTTCTGTAGTACATTAAACCCAAGCTCGCAATTTCAAGTAAACCTGTCAACAAGACCTCGAGAGTTATAAACCCCTTATAGATCTCAACACTTCTCCAGCTATAATAGGGTATTGGAAATGTTATTAAATAACCCTATAGAATATGTTCTACTCTATTTTGGACTCAAATTGGGTCATGCCACGCAGTGTTATCAAAGGCGCGTTTAAGCCCTGAAACGAGACTCAAAACATGTTGAGCACTTCGCCTCGCTTAGCGGACGCTTCATTGTTGTCATTAAGGCTCTAAGGCATACTTTTCATTGCCAATGAGCGTAATCCTGAAGAGGTGACACTAAACAATTGATATTTCACTTTATCGTAAATTTTCTTCAATTTCATTGTCCATATATTTGGTATTCATGCTTATAGATATTAGTTTTGGACGACACATACATATTTATAGTTTTTATCCATTTGCGTCTTTCTTCATTAAAGCTTACGCTTTATTTGCGCTTTGTGAGCCCCAATAGACCTTAGAACTTTTTTACGCTTTTTGCCTTTGATAACACTGATGCCACGTAGAGTTAGAAAAGCCTATGAAGGTTGCTTATGAAGAGTGATGGAACCACAGATGTTTTGATGAAATCTCAACTCTGAACCACTCTTTAAAAGCTAGACGGAGACTTAATTTATTTAGCTGCAGCAACCTAACCTCTATAAACAGCATTGATACTCTTTTGGACTTTCTTAGCTCCCTGAATCTAGTATAGTTTCTTTTGATGTATTGGAGCTAGCAATCTCTCTTTTGTACCTTTTTAATCCTCTTGATGCCTATCAATGAAACATCTTACTTCTTTTTTAAAAAAAAACAATAAGACTTAACCATGCCAGAAACTAACCTAGCTGTTGTCCTGCCCTGCCTTTTATAACTTCGTTTAAGACAACAAGCATCTATGTCCTCAAGCTTGAACTTTGAAAACCAATATACTACAAGCTAATCACTTTTGCTCAAGTATATACTTAATATAATAAAAAGGAACAAGAACTCCACGCGATATAAGAAAAATATGATGTATAGATTCATATATATTCAGTGTTTTTGTTCTATATATGACAAAAAAGAAATGCAAAAAGAGAACACCAACTAATAAAATATACTTGGGGGAAATGGGTAAGGCAAGAACTCTTACAAGTTAACGATTACATGATTGTCAGTCTTCTTGGTTAACAAGTCCCTGATCAGCTGTCGACAAGGGATTAACGAGGCTTTCGATAAAGATTTCTGCCTGAAAACAGCTCTTAGGTTTAGTAATCTCTGGTTGTCTGATAACTCTGATTGAATCATCCTTTGGATTGTATATCATGAAAACTGACCGATATAAAAGTAAAATTTCACCCTTATCTAGCTGGCAAAACAGCGGGGAAAATGACAAGGAACAGCGTGGATAATAGTCATACTTCCCAGGATCATCAGGACAGTTAATGGCGAACATCTTTGTCCAAGATGGTTTAACTCCGTAATCTTTCATAAGCCACACATCAGAATGACTTCCCTCATAGTTACAAAGCACAACAAGATCACCTCCCAAAATTCCCAGCATTAAATCAAATTTACCTTTTCCATAATTGGGTTGCTCCACCTCACCCCATGTCTCATATGCTAAATCAAAAGAAATGATGTTGCAACGATTTCCGTCATCGTACTCATAAAAATGAATTATGGTGCAGCCATATTCGCTATTGTAGGCACGAGCAGTAGCAGATTTAGTCCAATAAAGCTTCCCCTTGACAAACTTAGCTGAACAATCTATCAAAGAGCTTCCCTGAAAATCCTTGACCGATCTCCAAGAATCAGTCTTCAAACTGTAAACCTTGATCTTGGTCTTAAATGAAGCATAATCATCTCGATAATCATCAAAGATATTGAAAATCACCACTAGTTTATAATCGTCGTGTAACTCATCATATCCAAAACCATATCTAAAATATGTAGAGCAAAACCACTTCGATCTAACTCCTGAGTCGGGCAATTCTTCGACTTCCTAATTGATGGGTTCCATATATATAAATTAACTCCTGAACTAGGCAATTTATTTGTAATCTTCATTGGTTTGTTCGAGTTTTCCTTATTGGCTAGGCAAATCAATCCATCGGCAGTATCACACCACCTAGTAAGGGAATTTTTCATGGGATAATCCATTTCAGATGCCTCAGTAATTGGGTCGTAAATTAAGGAATATAGTGGAAAGTCCTTGAGATTGCATATGAAGTTTAAAATAACCCTATGGTGGTTGTATTCTTTGTCAACATGAACGGAGATGGGTTTTTATGAATTCAGAGCTCGAAATTAGAGAAAGCCATGGTTTTTATGATCTTGACGCTGCGTAAACTCAGAATGTTTTGTGCACCAAACTACTTTTGATTTCGGCTTAATTCATAAAATTTTAGATTGCTTTAGTTTTAAGTCAATTGTCATACAAGAATATTAATATTTCTAGGATTTTCATTTGCTAGCTAAAATTAGCAAATTTTGATATAACATCAACTTTTTGCAATTCTCATGTTAGGAAATAATAGATCAAAATAGCAACATTAACTTTCATAATTACCTACTTTAATTAAAAAAGATATTTATGATTCTTTGTGGTGCTTATCCTAATTAACTCTACTGTAATGTACATACTCTTAAAATACATTGCTTCTTGTTGGTATTGTTTGATTGACAGTATATTAGGAGAAGTCAAAAGTAAATAAATGAATGAACAAAAGAACGTAGAAGATAATGTACGAACCTTGATGACATTAGCTATTAGCATTCATCATTGTATCACTCAAGGCAACTGGAAAATATATGAAAAACTAGAAATCTCAAAGCTATATACATAAAGCAAAAGTAAAATAAAAAAGGTAATGTGAAGTAATAAATTTTCATTTGGAATAAACTAGTACTATTTTACTTTTGCACTAACTTATGAAAATATACTCACTTTTTATTTCTTCAAATGTAAACAAGAAAAGCCATAAAACAAGGACAAACTGAAGGAATCAGTTGATTTAAATTGGTGGATCTATGCTTTATTAAGGGAAAAACATAAATTGCCCCCTAAACTTGCTGGAAAAAGCCATTTACATCCCTTTACTTTACGGGCAACCTATCATCCCTATTCTTTTCTGAAGTGGAACTAATACTGCTAGTTTTTTCACATATCTATAAAGAAATTTGTTAAAATTATTAAAGACATCTTTTTACGTAATAAAGTATATTCACAAAAGCATACACTGCTCTACTTCAAGCATGCAATTTGAAGTTCACATCCTTAACTATATAGGCAAAAGAATGTGACAAGAGATTATTTTTGTATTGCATCATTACATCAAACAACATGCCATTTTTGGTGTCAACTGCCAATGTATTACACAGATATTTGCAATAATCCTTCTTCTCTAAGCAATAATAGTAATCTAAATCAGTGCCATTCCAATCCCCCTAAAGTTGTAGAACCCATTCCTTCCCATACTTCATTACACCCCACTTCTTCATTATCAACACCTTCCATGTTGCAATCCCACCAGCCACCTCCATTGGCATCTGAAAACACGAAAAAATAAAACATAATTTTCCTTTTTATGATGAGAACTTGCACTTGAAAAGTGCAATAATATGTTCTAGCTGAAGAAACACTTTGATGAAATATTATTTAGATTTGAGTGGACTTACAATGATTGAAGAGGGTACTAGGTTTCTCAATGTTATCGATCATTCTCACTTTTCGTCTACGCTTTTCTGCTGAACCTTCTCCAAGAACTGCCAAAACTTTTCGAGCAGATTGGTTTCCGCTGCTACCTAGTAAACCATAAAAACTGTCAGGGCTAAACCACAAGAACTCGTTGATGATTTCCAGAGAATGCGAGATAATTGTCTGCATTATATCCCACATTCTATATGTTCCATGAAATCCAAGAACATGTAAAATATTACTATGGCAGAACTCAAATGCAAATGAAACTGGATTAACCAGATAATAGTTCTACTGAGCATAGGAACTAAATTAGATGGTATTTATTTCTCAAGAAAGCCAATACACCACGCGCTAGTAACCAGATAAAAGTTTTGTGTCAATTCCAGTAAGCAACCTGGCTTGAAGGAGTAAAAACCAGGTAGTTGATTCTGAATACCTTCATTCCCAATCCTTATCCACTCAGTGAGTAACAACACTAAAAGGGTCCTCAAATTTTTAGAATCTACTGGACTTTCATCTGCTTTTGGGAAGTGCTGGACTACCACTGTTTTTAAGGGGCTCAAGAAATGGACAATGATCTTATTCAAGGCATCAATGTATCATCTTTCAGGAAAATGCCAGAAGAAAAACAATAGGCATTTTTCTCCATGTAGCCGAGATTAAGCTCAAACTCTCAATTTCAAGCAACGCTGTCAACAGAACTCAAGAGGAATAATCCGTTAGGCCCTTCTAGAGCTCAACACTTCTCCAAGTACAACTGTGTATTGGAAATCTTATTCCATACTAAATATCGAATAAGTAATACTCCCTCCGTTTCAATTTATGTGAACCCATTTGACTGGGCACGGAGTTTAAGAAAAAAGAGAAAACTTTTAAACTTGTGGCGTAAAATGAGTCACATATTTTGTGTGGCTATAAATCATTGCGTAAAGCTAAATTGTTTCCAAATAGGGAAAGAGGTCATTCTTTTTGGCACGGACTAAAAAGGAAATAGATTCACATAAATTGAAATGGAGGGAGTAGCATCTTTATACATAGAGAAGCAATATCAACTAACAGACGATTGCATTGTGATTCAGAACCTGAAGCTTTATAGCATGAGAAGCAAGGTCAAGTGACACAAGAAGCCAGCTGATTAGTTCTTGTTTTACCGCGCATGTATGTTAGTTACAGAAATAAAGATTAGATACTCAGTAATTAAGCTAACCAAATAAAAATATATATATCAAGGCAATCTCATGAAATCCTAATTCATCAAGAATATATGATTAGCACAACAAACTTGTGAACAGCTGAACTGATTCATTTCTGAAAGAATGACTAACCTTCAATAAGACCTCTTTTTCTTGATGTTCTGACATCATCTGTGCTACAAACTGAAACCTCACCACAATCATTAGGAGCAGAAACATCTTGGTTCCCTTTCATGGTGTTCTTGTATTGTTCAAAAATAGCATCAAGAGCACACGGAATTCCTGTTTCTCCATCTTTCCCGCGGTTGATTTGTCCATTAATGGACTTACTTGTGACTTTGCTACTTGCTGGCACTGAGATTTTCTTATTTCCCTGCAAAAGTTTAGTTCCCGTTTACACTTATATCTAATAAGATAAGTTATTCTACAAGTAGAGAAATTACACACCCTGATATAGAGAACCTATAATGACTTCTACAGGCTGCTCAGGAATACAGTTGCATGTTCCAATTACTAATGCAAACGATAGAACTCTTCTTATTGTAGTTATATAGAACAAAGATGATATAAATGACAGAAGTTAAAACCAAACAAAAGTTAAATAGATCATTTTCAATATTTTCCATTAGTAGAAGCCAGTAGCATTCATCACCCCTTCCTATTATATTCTCAAGTCTTCAGGTGTTCCAAAAGAGAAATTTAGCTCAGATCAACCAACCAAATTTAGTCCATCATTTAAAGGCATCAAGTGCACCTCCGCAAACGAAGTTCAGAATCAAGAAGGGTTCATAAACAAAGGAAGTGTATAACTGGGGCTGCTACATACATTTTTAAAATCTTTGCTTTTAACTTTCTACACGCGCGAGCGCACACATATAGTCCGAGCCTGAAACGATGGATGCATGTGCACCCACCGCTTATATGTTGTACTGGCCTACAAGTTCTACAAATCAGTTACAATGTGAAATCTTGAAGTAAAGGCAAAAAACAGGAAACACAAGTTTCTGTCTTCAAATGTTTTGACATTTTTCTTGAGTCCCAAAGATTGGCTACTAATAAAAAGACTACAAGTAGTTAACAAAAATGCATTTCAAAAGCCTAAATTCCTTCTTCTTTTTTTCTAGCATTTCATGAACACCGAAACTAAAATAATTTAGCTTTCTTACTGGAACTACTCCGGGCAAAACAGGACTTTTGTGCAATTTTTTGCTGAGGAAGTCAGATAAAGAAATGCTTGAACCCTTTTGATTGGTAGCTTTGCTTTCCACTTTCTTCTCGCAACCAGTAGACCTTAAGTAAATCACAAAAAAAAAAAAAAAAAAAGATAAACCCCAGATTCAGAAGTACACTCAGAAAGCTAAAAAGAGAGATTTAACAAGAAAATGAAATTTCTTCTTAGAACTTAAAATTAATCAGCAAAATGAAAACCCAAAAGTTAAATTCTTTTCTTACTGATTTGAAGAACGAAAGAGGAAAGTTGAAGCAATTGAACGCTGCCCTAATGGTCGTATTGAAGGTTGGTTTTTCATATTCTTCGCCGATTTGCTTTTTGGTTTTGCGATTTTGGGGCCAGTTTGTTTGGGAGTTTTTCGCCAAAAAATTGGCGCAAAATATTTGAAAATTTCGCCAAAACGAGAATGAACAGTAGGACACCCAATTTAATTCTTGCAAAATAGGAGGAACCAAAAAAGAATTTAAGAAAGTGTTGTAACAAAAAGGTTGATGGGGTGAGAGAGGCTTGAACTCTAGACCTCAGGATATCTCAGAAGCTATGAGACCTACGCGCTAGCCAACTGCGCCACCACCCCGGTTATTATTAAATGATTCTATAATACAAATTATCAATGGTTGAAATCAAACTTATATAATTAACATAATTATGGGGAACTTTTTAAAAAAACACGAAAAACTATTACTCCTGCTGTTTTAATATGTGTGAACTTATTTGATTGAACACAAAATTTAAGACATCAATAAAAACTTTTGAAAGTTATGATTTTAAACATATATGTCATAGTATTTGTACGACTATAAGAGCTTTTCATTAAGGATAAAATTAAAAAATTTAAGTCAAATTATTTTTAAATTTAGAAAGTGGTTATTCTATTTTAAATAGACTAGAAATGAAATAGGTTCACACATACGGAAATTGATGGAGCAATAAGTATGAGGCATTTTTGTTCAAATTTTATTTTCCCATTAACAAGTGGCTATTTCTCATTACATTTTAAATAATGGCTAGTATTAATAAGTCGTCCAAAAAATAACTATCCCACCCAATTTTTACTGAAGATAGAGGGCCAAGATACTCGATCCAAAAAAACGTTATGGGGGCAAGTGTATAGATAACTGCTTTGAGGGCCCTTATTTAATGAATAGTTAAAGTTTATAATTGTTTAAAGTTTAATCGCTTCAAAATTAACTTCAGACTCACGGCTTTAGGTATATGAGATCTGAAGTTAGGTATATTACTCGTGCAGTTCGAACTTCATACATATAGGTCTGAAGTTAAGCTTATCAGTACTGTTCATCGACATGTGTGTCTTCTTTCTTCTTCTTTTTTTGACAAACTACATTCAAAAATTGACAAGTAATATTCACGCACCTACACATGCTCATATGCAATTACCATACTTAGTTTGTTTTTTTTATTTTATCTTCTTGAGCCATCAAATTATATATAATAGTCACAAAGTCACATCTGAATATAGAAGTACAAAATTTCTCTTCACGTACAAGTTATTGCATGTGTTTCTGTTTGGTTGTTTATTAATGGCAAGTTAGTGTACATCAAATCAAGGTGACGGATGCTGGAAAATTTTCACTAGCAGAAAGCAACTGGGATTTTGCTTTTGTTTCTTAGCTACCCT